AATCGGAGTAGAGGTGTCCAACTGGACAATATCGAACACGGAGTCTGTCACATTAGGCAGGGGCTGTACCGTAGAGTGAGCGTGTTAGCCATCCGCTTGATGAAATCCCTGTAGGATTTTAAGTCTTCCGAAGGGGAGATCGCCCACTTGTTGAGGTGGTGAGGGTTCCATCGGAGGATCAGGGTTTTTGTCCCCTGATTGGGAGGAAGCGTCTTCAGAGGAGGAGTACTCAGATGGTTCGGAAAAAGACATAGGTGGCATCGGTATCAATGAACTCAGATCCGATGGATTTTTAAACTTTGGAATTGTCAGGTGTGACTGCTTGGAGGGTTTGCCCATCAGCCTCGACGGTTGGGGCCTCACAAACTCCGGTGTTGATGCAGGATCTCGATACCGGAAGTGACGTGAAGAGGCGGACTGACGGTCCCATTCCATCGGTTGGGGTGGGAACCACGTCATACTCCCTGTAAATGGGTAGGCCCCATACATGTATTGCCACGCCGTTGGTCCCAGGAGGGTGGTGGTGGCGGCGGTCTCGATCATCAGGTCAGGGCTGTGAAGGAGGGCAGAGTGCTTCACCACGATGTACCACACCTCAAACTCATGGCATGGAAGATCCCCTAGCACAGCTCAAAAACAGGATAGACCTTGTTCTGTTGAACTGTCGGAAGCCAGCTACACGTGCTTCCTGTGAAGGGAAGTGGAAGAAATTCCTGTCTTACCTCAAGTCGTTGGGTTTACCATCACCCCCTACGGACATGAGGATAGTTTTCAGATTTTTGTTGACCTGCCTGGACTTGGGTCTTAGTTGCTCCTCTTTAAGAGTCTATTTAGCTGCCATTTCCACTAATCATCCTGCGGTGGACGGCTATCTCATTTTTTCTCACCTGCAAACAAAGCAGTTCTTGAAGGGCCTCACTCACCTCTTTCCTCCGGCTCGTGGGCCGACTCCCTCCTGGGACTTACCTGTAGTACTGTCCAGATTAACGGGCAAACTGTTTGAGTCCATGGCCACGTCTAGTCTGCAGCTTCTCTCGTGGAAGACTGCCTTCCTAGTAGCCATTACCTCAGCAAGACGAGTGAGCGAATTGTCTGCACTCCGTTGCAATTCTCCATATTTGGTCTTTCGCCATGATGGTGTCACTTTGGCCCCAGATGTCTCTTTCCTGCCCAAGGTTGTTTCTGAGTTCCATTTGCGAGTGGACATCGCTCTTCCGATGTTTTTCCCGTCCCCTACGAGCGACGAGGAACGCCGTCTTCATACTCCACACGTCAAAAGAGCCGTACTCTTCTACCTTGATAGGACAAGGTCATTCCGTCAGTCACCAGCCTTGTTCGTCTCCTATAGCACACCTGTGCTGGGGAAGAAGCTCTCTTCGCAACGTCTATCCAGGTGGATTGTGGAAACCATCAAACTGTGCTACGTACTGGCCAAACGGCCACTTCCGGGCCTGTTCCAAGCGCATTTCACCCGCATTTGCATGATCACACAGTCCCTGGGAGCCCGCCACTGCATGATCAGACGCAACTGTGGGTGGGTCAGGTTGTTTTTTGGGCCGCATATTTCTGGTGTGCTTCAACGACGGATCGATCGTTCGCATCTCCGCACCGAGTGCTCCCTATGCAGTGTGTGATGATGTGCATACTGAGACGGGGAAAAGAACAACAACATGGAGTTGGGATGGCCCAATCAGACCATCCCAACGCCATGGAAGCGTGCTGGCACAATCACACTGGGGAAAGTCCGTTCCTGGCCCGTGTCTTCCCCGGTGTCTTTTTACTCTGCTTCTGCAACGGAGCAAAATGGGTTGCTGACGGGAGCAGGACACTTGGCAGATGTTGGCGTCTGATCGCGCCCTTAAAATCTGCCCGGCATTCGCACCTATGGCACTGCTAATTCTGCGTGTGATCGTGCCCAAAGTCTGCCAAAGTGTGGAACAAGGCCTTTTCAGTAGCAATTTCTACTCTGTGCAGTGCACCGTTCAAGGGGTTCTGCTTCAGTCTGAGTTCCCCTATCCAATAGGTAGAAATATAAAGTTCTTCTATTTTGGAAAGTATTATTGGATTGATGGACTTTGTTTATGTTTTAAAAGTTGCATTGTTATTTAATTAATTTTTTTCTTTGAAAGTAGAGGTGTAAGTTGCCTAGGGTGGTTTCCTGATCAAGAGGGTGTAAATGTGTGTATCTGCATGCGGAACACAGGACAATGTGTTTTTTACACAGACACACACACACAACACATTGGGTTCATGCAATATGTAAGCCTCCTCCTCACCCTACATTCCTCTGCCCATCATACTCACAGACAACTTTCTAATAATAACTAGTCCTACTATGTGCAGGAAGAAATTGAGTTTCTCCTGTTTTACAAAGCTACCACAGTTCATTCTTAGTCAAAGCTGCTTCCTGAGGGAGTTGGGGATTTCAATAGAACCCAGATATCTTAGCACCTAGTTCCTGCTGTGCCCTCCCTTGCCTGGAGAAATGGGAAAGATCTCCAGCCCTGTTGTTTAAAGGCAGAGGGAATGCTCTGCCAGAGCTGTGTGGCACAATACTAAGCATGTTTACTCAGAAGTAACCTCCTCCGAATTCAACAGGACATATTGCCAAGTACATATGTATAGGCTTTTGACTTTAATAAAACAACAGCACTAAGACAAAGAATCGGGGGGAAGCTACACATGTCCAGTTCTGCCTATCTATGCATCACAGCCTCTGGCCCCAGAGAACATAGCCGTTATCATGAAGCTTGTCCACACTGTTTAACAAAAGTCCCAGGTCCTACACCAAGACAGTACAAATGCTGTGCTCAAAATCAGTTGTGCATACAAAGGGGTTTATTTTGCACAAACTTGTTAAAAGTCACAGATTGTGGCAGAAGACATTTATTTATTTAATTAATCTATTCTCCCCCCCCCCCGCATTTCTCTCCAGTGCAAAGCAGGTTACATCCTTCTCTTCTCCTCCATTTTATCTTCACAACAACCCTGTGAGGTAGGTTAGGCTGAGAGAGTGTGACTGGCCTAGGGTTGCCAGCCCCCAGGTGGGAGTGGGGGATCCCCTGATTTCACGGGCTCCAGCCAGCCACTGGCCAGTGGGGGGAAGCCCCACCCCAACAGCCAAGCCTGGGTGCGGCATCCCCAGCATGATGTCACTTCCGTGTGATGTTATCATGCCAGGGATTCCACGGGGATCCCCCCCCCCCCATTCCCGGGAAGCTCCTTCCCCACCCCCTGCCGGCAGAAGGAAAGGACCTGGCAACCCTCACTGGCCCAAGGTCACCCAGTGAGCTTCCATGGCATGAGTGGGGATTCAAGCCTGGATCTGCGAGATCCTAGTCCAACACTCTTAACCACTACACCACACTGACTCTCCATTTCTGAGCTTTTGTATATAGAGGAGAAGTGGGAAGGGGTTGGAAAACATCGGTTGGTGAAGGAAGAGTGGACAGGTAGGGCACAGGAATCCCCTGAAAAACAAGTATGTTTCCATCTCCCCTGTCCTGGATAGCCTGATCTTGTCAGATCTTGGCTGCTAAGCCAGGGTCGGCCCTGTTTAGTACTTGGATGGGAGAACACCAGGGTCACGACACAGACGCAGGCAATGGCAAACCACCTCTGAACATCTCTTGCCTTGAAAACCCCGTGGGGCCACTGTAAGTCAGCTGTGACTTGAAGGCAAAAAAAAAAAAGACATCTCATTTTCAAGTCTGTTTCCACAATTATGAGGTCTAGAAACTATTTTCTAAGGCACATCTTGTGCTAAGTGGTGCAGCACAGAATTGCAGAAAAAAAAGAGAAATTGATTATACTCTACGTGTATATGTGGCCACATGCTCTAGTTCAGGGTTCTCCAACATGGTGCCTATGGATGCCATGGCAACCACCAACGCTTTTTATGGTGCCTGCCAAGTGTTTTTTAAAAGTAGGCTTGGCCAGGTGGGGCAGCTGATTGGCCACTGGAGATCTGATTGGCTGCGCAGATTAAAATAACATTTTTTCATCACAAACTGCCACCATAGTGTTTGTTTTGTTCTCTCTCTCTCTTCTTCCTGGTGCATTTTTAAAAATTACTTCTCTTGTCTACTGCATTTGGGCTTCCTTTGAGGTGTCTGTTTCTACTTCCTGCAGGTCATTTTGTGTTAGCTGTGCCCAGGCTTATAGCCAGGATTTTTTTCTCTGGGTGGTGGTGGTGGGGGATTTACATTTTTAAGGGAGCAGTTGATTCAATTAAATTACATCAGACAGCTCTCACCCGCCTGCTGCCCTGGCATCTGATTGGCAGCTGGAGAGCTGGCTGTTTGCTTGGCCGCCATTACTTTAAAATATTTGAATATATATATTTAAAGTCTCTGGCATGGCTAGGGTTGCCAAGTGAATTTGTCTTACCGGCGGGGGAGCCTCGCCGGGCTCCGGGAGCCGTCCGTCAATGTGCGTGCGACGTCGATCACCCTATGACGTGCGACGTCGATCACGTTGAAGCCGTGGTCCCGATCATCGGAGGGAAAACCATAGAGTTTTCCCTCCGACGAACGGGGCCATGCCCCCAACCTCTGGTGACGCAACCACACTGCACTTCGGGGGGCAAAGTTTCCCCCGGGGCCTGATTCCGCAGCGGTGGAAATCGGGCCTCCGAAGCGGGGGTTTATCCGCCACCCGCCCCCACTTGGCAGCCCTAGGCATGGCTATTTGTGGGGCATGACTTTAATTAAGGGAACAGGGCCCCGAAATGTTACGGGCCTGGCTGTGCCTCCTGCAGCAGCCATTTTGTGGTTGCGCCCATCACCCTGTGTCAGAATTCCCAAGGTGTCCACAAGGACCACTGCTCTAGTTTTTGCTGATCATGTGTATAAGAATGCCGGTATTCCAAAGGAAGATTTGTTTTGCGCTCCAGCCTTAGTCATCAGCCTGTGGACTTCTCTCCATTATAGCTGAGGCAGTGAGCTGACTATCTTTCCACTGAGCTTTCTCCAAGCTGAGCATCTCTCTCCCATTTTCAGGTCAGTAAAGGCCAGCTTATCTCTGCTGTGTGCAGAACTACGGGCTGAGGGAGAACCCAAGAAGAAAAAAAGGAAAATATCAGAGACAGTTTATGGTGGCATTAAGAGCTCCCAGGTAAGTCCAATGTTGAGGTTCTTTATCCTTTTAGTTTTCTTGCAATTGACTAGGAAGCAGCCCACTAAGCCTATGAACAAGCTGGATCTGACAGAGCCAAGGGAAACCATATTCTGCCCCAGCTTTTAAAGTGGTTTGTTTATAACTTGGAATGTGCAGAGTCCACATATAAATGATAAATAATGCTTGATCTTCTTAAAGAGGCTTTGGGAGGCCAGGGAATTCCTAATCATCATCTTCAAACATCTAAAAGATTGCCATTAAAAATAGATAGCAGTTGTTTGTTCACATAGAAAATAAAGATATTGAATTAAATTGAAGAAAAATATGTGTAGATGAGACCAGGGGGAGGAGCTTCCTTACAGAGCAGCTAGGATATATGCAGAACCTTCTTTTTGGGTGGTTTGTGATTAATATTTGACAGCTGATTTAGATATAATGAATGCAGCTTCAGCAGTGGTGGTGGTGGAGCCAGTTAAGATAAACTCCCTCAGCTTTTCCCAGTTTCTTCATTTTGATATGTGAATCAGGGATGGGTAGGTAAGAGCAACAGGGAAAGGCCAGGGCATGTAAAAGTCTATGGATTTTCTGCTGAGAGTAATGTGTCTGCTTCTGTATATACTTGACCTGCAGGAGAAGGTGCGTTGCAAGAAGAGCAGTTCCCAAAGCAAACTGGCTTCCAGTGTGGTACACAAAGTCTCCCATCTGAAGCAGAAAGTCAAGAGCAAAGGCTTGCCCACAAGCATTGGCCCATTCCGTCGGAAAGAACCTAGCCCTGGCACCCGGATCCCAAAGAAACTTTCTCGGCCCAAGAGCTCCAAAGCAACACCTTCTGCAAAATACCCACAGCAGGACCTGGATATCTTGGAGGACAAACCGATCACAGGGAATGCTGATGCAGGTACTGATTGGAGCAGTGGGGAAGAATCTGTTGGTACCTGGAAACAAAGGTGGTGTTGCATATGAGAGGGTGCTGATAACATTGCAGTGGTTAGCTTGCACTACTGTTGTTGTTCCTAAGAGAGCACTGAAGCACTGGGACTGCTTCTGATGTCTTATGCTGTGTACTTTGGGCTCTTTGCTGGCCTCCCAAGATGGCAAAATCCTCCCACCTGAGCACTGCGAAAGGCAACCACAATTAGATTCTCCCAAGCCATTTATGAGTTAGTCCATCCTCCAGCAAAAGCTGGTCTCTTCGTCTTTGCCCAGGACTTTACAGCATAGTGTATTTCCTGCTGGCAAGCAGAGGAAGCTGTGCAATTTAAAAATAACTGCACAGGACGGCCTCTGCTGGGGCCTATGTCCGTTCCCATTTGATTGCAGCCTTATGGGCTTCCCCTGGAGCTCCTGGGGCATTTTATCAGGAAGTCAAGACTGAGACAGGAATTCCACTTCCACTCCCCCAAAGCCAACAGAACAAAGACATATTGTCAAAGGGGCAAAAACCAGGATGTAGGAACTAATGTTTGAAAGGTCAGTCAGCCTTCCAGTTGGGTCAGCACAGAGGGAGACAGTAGCTCAGACAGGACAGATTCAAGTTGCTTTTTTGTTTAAAAACTTTGGCTACCCTTCTATCCATTATTGGGGGGATGTTACCACCTACTTATATCTTTGGCCCTCACTGCAGTACTCAAAAGGTATAAAGTCCCAGACCATGGATTGGTCTAAATCGTGGATTGACCATGATGCTAATAATGGAATGAGGGACAGGCAATGCTGTACTAGGTCCCAAGTGAGACAGGAAGGTTTTGGTAGTAAAATATTTTGTGAACCACAGCCTAATCCCTTGGTTGTCAGCTCACATTGAAATGTGGTCCTCAAAAATAACATGTTGTTTGTCTTATTTGTCCTTGGTGGCAAAAGAAGCTGGGGTATAGTTGTCGTTTACAAGGCATGGCTCAGTCTCCTCCCCATACTGAAGTGGTCCTCTCCCTCCATCCATGAATTTCTCCTGATTCTTCTCTGTCCACAGATGACAATCGCCACGGAGACTATGAGAGTGATGATGATGGTGGTGGTGGTGATGACTTGACCAGCGACACTAGCTCCACCCTTCATGTGAGAGTAAACCCTTCTGTGATTGGCCCCTCTCCCTCCTCAGTTGTGAAAATGGAAGCCAATCAGAAAGCAAAGAAGAAAAAGGAGAGACAGGGGTTACTAGGTAATGTTTCAAATACACCCAAGCTGGTTGAGAGTAGGCCACAAAAACCTTATAGAAAAATGGCTAGGGATGGTTGCAATGAGAAACCCCAGCTTTTTAAGGTACACTGGGATTTGTAAGGTCCAGATCTGCCATGCCACGCCAAACTGCAGCCCCCAAACAGAAGAGGCCCTCAGGTAAGCCAACGAGCTGCTAATGCGAGTGGATGTGGTTAGGGAGACCCAGGTTCAAATTCCTACTGTGCCATTAAGTTCTCTGGGTGCTCTTGGGCCATTCTCTCAGCCTATCTCACAGGGTTGTTGTGAGGATAAAATGGAGGAGGGGGAAATAATGTAAGCTGCCCTGAGCTCCTTGGAGGAAGCTGCAGGATAAAAATATACTAAATAAGGGATTGCATGAAATATGATTGGCATGTGCTTACTACTGTTATACAGACTATGTCAGAGACAGCCACTAGCTAAGACTTGGTCCCTTTCTTCATTGTTGTACTCTTCTGTGTCTACATAGGGCCCTGCAGAATCCCCAGTCCTGAAGGTCAAGTCAAAATCAAGCGTCGTCCTGTGAAGCCTGGTGTGGGGAGGTTAGAGAAGGTGCCGGTGTGCCGAGCAGGATCTTGTGAGGGTTCCAACAAGAAGAAGCTGAAGGCCAAAGTCAAAGAGCTGCACTGTGGGCCTGGGGCATCAACAACCAGCGGGGGGCTCTTCTCTGCCAGCCAGGCGAGGTCATTCACAGCCCGGGATGATGCAGGAAAGCTTAGCAACGAACGCCTTAAGAAAGCCACCCGCAAGAGCAAAGTGCTGCAGTCAGCCCTCAGGGTAAGCAGGGCCCATGAAATCCCCCTGATGGGGAGGGTTAGGCGAGATGCTGCTGTAACAGAACGGTGTTTTTGCCAGTTAGGCTGGTCCTTGTGGGTGCTAAGCATTGAGAAAAGATGGGTCTTTTCAGCACTGTGCTAGGAAGGTCCTCTGTAGTCCAGGGAGAATGTGTTAGCTGACTTCCTCTTTCGCCCTCCCCTTCCCCCCCTTGACAGAGAAAGAACGGGGCATTGGCACTCTCACCTCGCAATGCAAAGGCCATTTTGAGCAAGGGCAAGAAGCTGGCAAAAGTCAAGAGCAAAGTGGTCAGCAAGCAGGTAGGATCCAGAACTTTTTTTTTTTTTTGCAGTGTAGGGCATGGGCACCTTGGCACCAGCTACCATCTTAAAAAGGCAGAGGGTGTATGGATGTATAATCACAGGGGGTGGAAGAGCTGAAGGCTCCAGGGCCCTTCCTACTGCTGAGTATCTGTTTTGTTGGTATAGTTTCCTGGGTGAGGCAGAGAAGAGCTAAGAAGGCAGATGAACCCATCCCCTATTCATTCAGTCCCCCCCCCCCCCAAATTCCCATTAATGGGTGATGTAGCAAGAACCAGCGTGATGCAGTGGATTGACTTTGGACATGGGAGACCCTTGTTCAGTCCCTTCTCACCTTGGGCAAGTGTCTGTTTGTCATGTACTTGTATAGGGGCACACAATGTGAAACAGGAAACGTAGCTTTCTTTCCTTTCCCCACAGTGCAAAGGCCGGGCTGTCAGCCGGCTGATGGAGAGCTTTGCCATGGAGGATCACTTTGAGTTTGATGATAACAGCAGCTTCTCTGAAGAGGAGGAAGTGCCACCCATTGGTACAGAGCAAGACGTGACCGTGGGTGAGTCTGTTATTTATTTAGCATTTGGTGGGGGAACTGGGGCTAGTAAGGCTTGCTACGTGGCTTGGTGGTCCGAAGCAAGGACAGACAGCACAGAGGAGCAGCGGAAGGCAGTACTGGCAATGGTGGTGCAGGTGTTGCTGAAGCTAGATCTGCTATCGTGGTCAGTTTTAGGATACATGGCTACATACAATGGTAAACCCATTCTCCATCACACTGAGAATGATTCAAGCCTAGAACTGGTGCTCTCAGATGACTTTAGAGCTTGTGTAGATATTTTTTTTTTGTATGTTTCAAACACTGTGTTTTGAGAACTTTGCCAGCATAAAGAAGCAAAGGAAAATAGTGATCTGTGGGGTTCATGTCTTGGCCTTATGGTTGCAGCCCAGCCATGCAACATCCACAAAGAGGATCTCCAGGATGGACTGCGTGTGCTTATCCCCAAGGAGGACAGCTTGCTCTATGCTGGTAGTGTGAAGAGTCTGCAGCCACCAGACATGTAAGCACCCTCTTTCTCAAACATCAAGACAGACAAAGGATGTAGGCAGAGAGGGCAGTTTCTTCCAAGAGCAAATGGCAGCACTGCTGTTGCTCCTCTAATGCCATTATTTAGGAGAGGGAGTGGTTCCCCTTCTCTCATGCATACCATGCACCTTTCCTTTCCAAGCCTGACTTTCTGCTCTTCTCTACCTGCTGGCTATGGACAGTTGCAATCCTTACCCAAGTAGAGATTTAAATTTCCTTTACCTCCACAATTCCTACTGTGGCATTCACATGACCTAAGTTCACAGTGGTGGCCCATTGCCTCCACTGGGAAACAGAGTGGCAGGTGACTCTACCCAATCCTTGCCATCATGCATGACTATGTAGATCCAGTGGCATCTTCTTAACTAATCTGCACAAAAAGGGACCTCTGTCAAGACCAGGATTGAAAGTTTGATCTAGGAGACTTGCATTCAGATTCCACCTTGGCTATACAGTTGTCATGTGACCTGAACTGGCAGTGGTGGTGATGGGAGGGGAATGGGATTTCTCCTTTCCTGTTATTCCTCATAGGTCCCTCACTTGTATATCAGAATTAGCCAAGCTGAGTACTACTCCAGCTTTTCATCTATTTCAGCTGTGTAAAGCCTGCCATTGATTTGTCCCTCTCATAGCTACAGCATCGTCATTGAGGGAGAGCGAGGGAACCGGCAGAGGATCTACTCCCAGGAGCAGCTGCTACAAGAGGCGGTGAGTCCCCAAAGATCATGGCCTGGGATTAATGAAGTCTGCTTAGACAATCGAGGGTGGAGGAGCTGGGTTTTCAATACAGCTGGGAACAATAGCAAGGGATGTATTTGTGTATGAGGCACATACCTGCGAGGCTGGGACCAAAAAGGGCTAGGCCTCTGTAGTAATGTGCAAGGATAAGCTGACAAAAGACACAGGAGAGAAGCACTTTTGCTGTGACAAGCAAGGTACGATAGAGAGGCCCACACCTTCTGGATGCTGGGATACTTTGGATAGGATGTGGTGGGGCAAGGTGTATTTAGGTAAGAGTGCATCCGCAGGTTTTTAAGCTAGGGAATCAAGTGTGCTTGTGCAGAATATCAGACTGCCATAGTTGATCCTCTACCAGCTGCACATTGTGGAGTCTATATGGTTTTCATAGTCACTGCTGACTTCTTACTTTCAGTCCTGCAAAGACGGAGGACAATATAATAGCTGCCTTTCCCAGAGATGTTTCCCAGTGTCTAGTTGTGCAGTGCCCAGCTGGGTGTATGTGCAGCTGCTGTGAAAGCCTGCCCTGTATATGGTATGGCTATGCAGTTTTCCCACTTCCCAGATTCAGCAGAGCCCTTGGAAAAGCAGTTTAGCTGATGCCAGTGCTTTACTCAAGTCCATTCATCACAATGAGTACAGAATTTGAGCGAGCAGAGGTTCCCACATAGGAAGTGCCAAATTTGTGCTTATAATAAATCATATAAACCAAATCAATAAAATATATGCAGAATTGCTGATTTGGGGATAAAATTGCGGGTAGCAACTTTGGCTTACTCCAGACCAGATCTCTGGTGTTTATGCCATATTTACAGCTTGGGGAGCAGGACAGAATAGGTACAGTTTAGGCAGAACAGAAGAGTGGGACAACCTGATTGAATACAATGAAAGAGGGGCAGGTAGCCACATGGGTCACAGAAGTGCTGCCGTCTGAATCGTGGAGCATTTCCCCCCAGATCCTGCCTGTTCATTTTCAGATTTCATCTTGACGGTCATTGTATGATTCAAGACACAGAAAGACAGCTGCACTTTGCTTGGCAACCACTGTCCTCAATGTTTCTCTGTCTAGCTTAGAGCACAGTGGACCATCTGGCAACTAGAGCCTTTGGTTTCTTTCCAGGTTCTGGATGTGCGGCCCCAGTCAAGTCACAGCCTCCCTGCTGGCACTCGGGTCTGTGCTTACTGGAGCCAGAAGTCCCGTTGCCTCTACCCTGGGAATGTCATTCGAGGTGAGAGGGTCTGGCAAAGACGACCCAAGGTGCAATGAGCAACCTAGTCTCTGGGCTAGGCCTTCTCCCATGCCACCAGCAATGAAGCTGGCCTAAAATATGCTTCTCTGTCCCCAAGGGTAACACAGCCTCTGCTCCACAGGTTCCTCGAGCGATGAGGAGGACAATGCAGACTCGGTGCTGGTTGAGTTTGATGATGGGGACACAGGCCACATTGCTGTGTCCAACATCCGGCTGTTGCCATCGGACTTTAAAATCCAGTGTAAGTGTCCTTGGTAATGCAGGGCCATTCCATGCTTTTCGAGAAGAGTTTTTTGTCATTTTGTTGTTTCACTTTGTATTAAAAGGTCCAGAGTTACTATTATAGTGCAGATCCTTGTATTTACTGGTGCCTCTGCTAAGAAGTTACCTTGTGACAATCCATGAGTCCTGTGTATCTCTCCTGAGCCTTGTTCAGAATCCTTGTAAAGGTCCCTGCATCTCAGATCATAGTGGTCATTCCTTTGGCACAAAGAATATCTTGTTTTCTGTACTGCAGAGTGAGAGGAACCCTCTGTGACTGTGCATCTGGCTAACTGTGTGTGGGCACATGCACACTGGCAGAGGAATAAATATATGAGGCAAAGACAGATGGGCCACTGAGCTGTGATTTCAGTAGAGATCCTTAATAAGTACCACTGAGCTGTGATTTCAGTAGAGATCCTTAATAAGTATGACTAATATGACCGTTGTAGGAACTTGTATCTCACCCTGACTTCTCTTTGCTTCTGCAGGCACAGAGCCCTCACCTGCACTACTGGTCTCCACCTCCTGCCGTCGTAACAAGAGATCTTCCAGTGACATTCCCCATTCCAGTGAACCAGCACCAAGTCTGTGCACTGAGGGACGTGAGGGCTCTGAGCCAATCAAAAGCACTGGCAAGAAGGCTACCAACAAAGAAAAAGCTGGTGAGTCTCTCTCCTTCACCCCCCTCATTCACTTCCCAGGACGCTGAAGGTTTATTTCATTTTATCTTAACATCCCTGTGAGGCATGCTAGCCTGAGCACAGTGGACCACCCAGTGAGCTGTAGCTGCATCCTGTCCAACACTGTCCCCTTTGTCACAAGTCTTTGACGGGAAAAGGAGGGTCACCCTCTAACCCCAGATCATCCATTCTGGTCCTGAAGAACAGGCACGGTGGAGTAGTAGGCAGAGGTTAAAAAGCACGGGTGGAGAACTGGTGGTCAGAAATGGGTGTCAAAGCAACAGGAGGCCTTGGCTGTGGTTGATGCAAAACACGAATGTGATTGAAAGGTTCTACATCAAACCTTTTACTGCCCCGCATATTTATTTTACGGTAGGGCCGAGTGAATGTTCTCAAGGATCATTTTCAGATCAGAAGTAGTGATTTCAAATTGGGACACCCCTCCCAAGTCTCAATCTTTCCTTTTTCATGGTTGTTTGCTACACTTGGCGCTGACTGTTTGCTAATGTCACTGCATTCTCTGTACTGATCACGTTAGTGATCCTAGCTAACCGGCATCCATTCTTATAATGATTATTTCTACAGCCTTTTTTGCAATTATCTCTGCAACTCGCCAAAGTGGGAGACTTGAGATTTAACAAAGATTTATACAAAACAGGAGCTCTCAAATCAGCCCTAGTTGATGCGGGGGGGGGGGGTTGCCACATCATGAGGATAAGAACTGTTTGCAAATTGTGGGATGCTGGTGGGCTTTGCAACGGAAGGCTGTAAGTGCCCTTTGTGCCATCTTAAGAAGTGGCAGTTGCTATTCCCTGACTCTTCTTATTCACAGCTATTGGCAGGATTCTGCAGGAATCATTTGATAATATCTGAGTGCAGCGTTTACTAGGCTTGCCATCTACTTAACACCTGTCCCTTTTTTAATACCAATTTTTTTCTCTCCTCCCCTCACCTCTTTGGATGGCTGCAATTGTAGCATGGCCCAGGCTAGCTCAGTCTGATTAGATCTCAGAAGCTAAGTAGGGTCAGCCGTGATTAGCACTTGGATGGCAAACCACCAAGCACAAGTCCAAGGTTGCTACTTAGTGGCAGGCAACGGCAAACCACCTCTGTTCTTGCCTTGCCTTGAAAACCCTACAGGGTCACCCTAATTTAGGAGCATCCTGACAGCACTTTCCACTAGAGTAGTAGCACACTTTTGATGGTAGTCAGTAATGTTTTAATTTGCATGCCTGAATCAGCCTATGTGAAACAGCTGAGGTACCTTCCTCTCACAACTTTCTCAAGAAATGCAGCATCTTCAGCTTTGGGATTAAGTTGGGTGAAATCCAAGGCTAAGACAAAAATAAATATAAATAAATAAATAAACAAATGAATGAATATATAAAAATAAATATGACTCACTGAGGAGAGGGAGCAGGTTTAAAGTTGCAGACAGGGGAAGATGGGTAATCGGTACTGTCTGCCCTTGCTTGCTTATTTGACCAGATCCTGGTTACAAGTAGTAAAAACACAGTTGCAAGAAGATGACACAAGACATTTTTTGATCCTGTTATTTAGTAGAGCTGATAGACAATATTTATCTGACTCTGTCCTTTCCCACCAGGTAAATCTGACTTGTTGCACTCAAGTTCAAAAGCCCTGCCTGGAGATAACTTCCTGGGCCGTCGTGCCAGCCCTTTGTTGAGCTGGTCAGCTGTGGCCCAGAACAAGCGAAAGGCATCCAGCAAGAGCACAGCAATGCGACAGAACCTCTTCCAACTCAATGGCAGCAGCAAGAAGCTGCGGGCCAAAGAGGCACTCTTCCCCATGCACAGCATGGCAGCCCCTGTTTTTGGCAATGGCTTTGGCTCAGACTCATTCAGCCGCATTGCCAACTCCTACTCAGCTTTTGGAAGTGCTGGTCTTGTTCTGCCTAGTGCCCAGAAGCTCCTGCGTGCCAAGAAGGCTGAACGGTTGGATGCTGAACTGGGCAAGGGAGGACGTCGGAAAGTAGGCGGCGAGTATCTGATCAAGCTGGACCACGAAGGTGTGACGTCACCCAAGAACAAAAACTGCAAGGCCTTGCTGATGAGTGACAAGGACTTTGGGTCACTTTCAGGCCATGGCTACGCCCACCCTGCCTTGGAGATCAAGGAGAAAAAGAGTGCTTTGCCCATGGGGCTGGCATTACGCAAGTACACGGGTCAAACAGAGTATGGGCTGCACTGTGACAGTGACTGTCAGAGCTCCTACTCAGACATGGATGAAGACGAAGAGGTGGATGACCTAAGAGGCAGTGTCCCCTCCCGCTTCCTGACACGTCTTTCTGTCTCATCCTCTTCCTCTGGATCATCCACCTCCTCCAGCTCTGGCTCTGGCTCCACTTCTAGTCTCTGCTCATCTGATAATGAGGACTCGTCTTATAGCTCTGACGATGAGGACTCCACATTGCTTCTACAGACCTGTCTCACGCATCCTGTTCCAGCCCTGCTGGCTCAGTCCGAAGCCCTGCGTTCCAAGGGTGGCACTCTTCAGAGGTGCTTTGGTGCTGGTGCCAAGGGCAAGCTTAGGCGCAAGGAGGCCCTGAGCTTCTCTAAAGCCAAAGAGTTCTCCCGCCGGCAGCGGCTACCCTCGGTGGAAAACCGGCCAAAGATCTCTGCTTTCCTACCAGCACGCCAGCTCTGGAAGTGGTCTGGGAATCCCACTCAGGTATGGGAACCGGGAGTCAACCAGAACCTTTAGAGCTAACCTGTTTTAAGAAATATATGAATTCACTATATTAGACTATATGATGTGAATTAAAGATGTTTGAGTTTGTCTTTATTTTGGTAAACACTGCATTGTCAAAAAGAGGAGATTTTGAGCTTGAGCTGTTGTGATGAAGGGCCACAAGAGAGGAACAGCTAGTAAAGCTGGAAGGAAGTGATTCGTATGTGTGATTATTGACCCCAGTCTTTTTCTGAGTTTTGACAGAAGGACAGGCTAAAGCTAGGAGGTCTCCTCCCGTCTTCAGGCTCTTTTCCTGTGAACATCCTGAACGGAAAGATCCAATTTCCCTTTCTCTGTTTTGTGACAAAAGAGAAGTGAATTCCTGTTTTTCACATTGATTTCATCCTAGCTAATTAGAATGCTACTCCTGCAGTCCAATGTATGCTTGCTCAGAAGTAGGTCCCATTAATAACAAAAACATGCTGGTAAGGGGGAGAGGGGGCTGTGGTTCAGTGTAAGAGCCTCTGTTCTGTATGCAGAAGGCCCCACGTCCCCCCCCCCCCCCCAGCATTTCCAGTTAAAAAGGACCCAGGCAGTAGGTGATGTTAAGGATCTTGATCTGGGACTCTAGAGAGCCACTGCCAGTCTGAGTAGACAATACTGACTTTGATGGTCCAATGGTCTGATTTAATATAAGGCAGCTTCATGTTCAGTCTACGAAACAAAATGCCCCTTTCTCAGCTGGTGGTGAGGGAAGACTACTTCAACTCTCACAACATAGGGATTGAAGTTTGCTAGATGGTACGATTCCAGCCTATAGGCAGGCTGGAGCTGCTGTGTTGTAGTAACTGGCATGCAGTGAGATATTTTGCAAAGGAATTCTGCAACAATTGCTACATTCTGTAAGCATTCCTACCCAGATGGGATTTTAGCAGAGGCTTGTTAAGCGGCAGCCTCCCATAAATGGCAAGTGGGAGACAGCTTTTCCTGCAGTGGGTGGGGGGTGGGGATATCCAGCTCTGGTGGTACAATGGTGCCAGCGCTTCAGCCCTTTTTGTATTATTGTGGCCTGAAAGGCACCAGCTGTGTTCTGCATGTCTTATTCCCAGACGGCTGTCCATGTCAATAAGCCCCTTGTGGATACTAATACCTACAGAGGATATAAAAGCCATTTGGTAACTCCATTTGTGCTTTTTTGTTGGTTATCCTCTCTCAGGCCTCCTCAAGTAAAAACATCAGGGATTCGCTCTGGAGCAGAGGTTGCTTTTGCTACTTAGTGGCCCCCAGTTAAGCTCTGTCGCTATAGGTTCTGGAGTGCCTGTTGACATTCAGGGAGCTTTGTTGCCATGGTGACCCATCAGAATCCCTTGGGTAACTTCCTGGGGGCTTGCAGCAAGGAATAAGGAAGACCCTCTGTGTGTGTGTGAGTGAGATGCAGGCCACTGTTTACTAAACATTCTCTGTCCTTCCCCTGCAGCGCCGTGGCATGAAGGGGAAAGCACGGAAATTGTTCTACAAGGCGATTGTACGGGGCAAGGAGACGCTGCGCATCGGCGACTGCGCTGTCTTCCTGTCTGCTGGACGACCTCACTTGCCATACATTGGCCGCATTGAAAGCATGTGGGAATCCTGGGGCAGCAACATGGTTGTCAAGGTCAAATGGTTCTACCATCCAGAGGAGACCAAGCTGGGCAAGCGACACAGCGATGGCAAGGTGAGCAGCTAGGCCTGAAAGTGGGTGAGGCAAGCTTAGGAGCAGAGCTAGAGGGAGGGAGGAGAGGGGCTTAGGAGAGGGCAGAGTAGAGCAGTTAATGAGGAGATGGGTGGAGAGACAGATCCAAGATCCTCAGAGTATGGGGAGGAGCAAACTAGAGAGCTTCAGAAGGGTGCAGTAAGAGTTAACGTGTTGCTGCCCATCTCTGGTTTGAGGATGTGTCTGTAATAGACCTCTTCTCCTCCTCTGTAGGGGGCTCAGAGGACATAACAGGCCTTCAGAGCCTTGGCAGTGAGCTCTCCAAGCTCTGCTGTTCCTCTGCTACATGCACTGTTGTTTCTTCCACCTGCTGCGGTGTGTGCAATGTTAAGGAAATCTAGTAGCCATGAGCAATGGCCTCTGGGAAGGCTGGTCAAACATGTCTCACAGTTTCATTGGGTAATGCTGCCATAGTGGGAGGGAGTCAAGGAGAAGTTTTCGGGACAGTCTCATCTCACCCTCTGTACCTTGGTGTTAACTTTAAGCTGGAATGTGGTAGACTTTCACTATGCTGAGTTCGTGCAGGCTGGCAGGCCTTTACAGGGGCCTTGTCCTCTAGTGCTGGGGCCCAGGTTTCATCTCAGCCCTTTTATTGTTAATCACAATGCCTGGGTCCCATTCTGATCTTTGCCCTTCCCGCAGAATGCCCTGTACCAGTCGTGCCATGAAGATGAGAATGATGTCCAGACCATATCACACAAATGCCAGGTGGTTGAACGTGAACACTATGAGCAGCTCACCCGCAGCAAGAAATACCAGGACCGGCAAGACCTCTACTACCTGGCAGGGAGTTATGACCCGACTACAGGCCGGCTTGTGACTGCAGATGGTGTGCCCATCCTGTGCTGAAACTGCGGGACGCAACCACTGCTCCAGGGCCGGGAGATGGCCGGGGGAGGCAGAAGGGCCAAGGGGACAGTAGAAGGGTCCAGTCGCCTCACACTCCTTCCTGGCAGTCAGATGCAAGGCCCTGAAATATGCAAGGTGCCCGGCTTTGCCATGCCCGGGGTTGCAGGCTGATCCCGGTTTCCAACACAGCTCTGTACAGATTTGAATCCAAGCCATACTTTCCCTAGTACCTCTGACTGTTTGCCACAGGCCAAACACAAATCAGGTTACCGCTCTATTTATTTTGTGTGTAAATAATGTATTTCTGATGGGAAGTTTTATGGAAATGAAACAAACAAGACAGAAAAGGCAGGTTTTAGGGGGCGGGAAGGGAGGGCTATTTGATGGGTTTTATTTTGTGTTCAATGCACTGTTTTCCTCCCAGCTTAGCTGGGGGTGTGGACGCCAGGCAAGCGTGTAAATACAGAAGGGGGCACTTGAATGATATGGCAGTGCAGCCTCCAAAAGGCTATGCTGACCTCCTCACAGGACTGTGTACTATAGACTCTCCTCACCCCTCCCCTCCTACCCTTTTTTATTGTTATTATTATTAATTATTATTATTATTGTTATTCTAATGATAATTATTCTGATAATGTCTGCGGATGTTAATATGCTCCTGTTAAAGAGAAGATTATATATATTATTATAAAATCAGGATTTTGAAGTCTGGTCTTCACGGGGGAGGATGGGGCCGGGATAACTGGAACTTTGAAAATGCCATTTCCCATAAGGAATATCTCGAGGTAGATCGCACTGGAGTGGTTGAACAGGATATCCAAGACCACATGCATCCACTTGTGGGTGTACATCACATCAAGAAGATACGTACAGAATATGTTTCTGGGGTCTTGGGGCCCATTGTACACTAGTGGGCTCCCTGGTGGGAATAAATTATATCTTACACTGCCTAAAGCTATGAGTACAGATGCAGAGAGGGGGCTAAAGGTGATAATGTCTTTGTGTGAGTGGAACTGAAAGCTGCGATTATGCCTCAAAGAATTTCTAAGGACCTCTCCAACCACGGTAGATGGATAGAACAAACGCAGATGGATCTCACAGTTGAGATGTCTAAAGCAATGGAAATCCTTTTTCTAAAGTGTTTTTGAGGGATGTTTCCTATAAAAATTGTACCAGTCAACCCACACAGAGTGGCTTGCCCAAGCTGAATGCCGGCCACTAGCTAGGTATTGTGACTTATTTATTTATTATTTTCAATTTATATCCCACCTTTCCTGCACAGGCAGGCTCAGGGCGGCGTACAACAGGTTAAAATACAATAAAACAGGGATGCATAAATGCAATACTATAAAATTCACATACGCAAACAATATACATACAAAGTGTAGTTAAGTGCAGACTTGACAGGTGCTCTACAACCCACAGTTTTGCAATCCCGGAAGGCAGCCAAAATACGTTTACAGAGCCCCTGATGGACTACCCTACATGGCTGATAGGTGTTTTCAGTTTGATGAGTCACATGCTACCTACCAGGCACAGGGATCCCTAAACAGGGTGCAAAACACAGGAGTCAGAGCTTGCATGTAACATATAGATTATGTCCATTTAATCTAACTTCCATTCTTCTCCTAATAGATGGTACTTATGCCATTTGCCTTGTATATGGAGCTGAATGTCCCACATGTGAAATGCAAAGTTTATACAGTAGCATGTAGGGGGTTAGCTTTGCTGGAGTGAGATCTTTTTGTATGCCGTCATATTTTTGTTAATCTAATTTTGTGAATCCAACTGCCTTGAAATGGTACAGAAGGGTCTTCTCCCCCCGCCTTTGACTAGCACTAGTGATTGCTGGAAACTTCAACTCTTTCTAACAGAGTGAACATTGAGAAGGCTTGCCTTGCTTCTGCAGGCTCGATGCAATGCTTGCCACCTTTCTGGCTTCAACTTAATGAAAATGCTTCAAACGTAATTTTCTGAGCCTTTTCTCAAACAGTGTTATCCAATTCAAAAAGACCTGATCAGGAACAAAATTCTAGACCTTTTGGAATTCCTTCACAACAGGGGTTGCAAAGGAACCTCACATCAGGTATTGTATAGCAGAGCCCTTTTCACCATCATAATGAACTCTGCAGGCAGGAAATGGATTTTTTTGTCATGTGCATGAGAGGAGATTTCTAATGTGGCTCTAGCCAGTGTTCACCTCCTGGGTCTTCCAGCTGGTGTCTAGCTGTGATTCAAACCCCTTAAGATCAGCCACTGAAGAAGTTTATTCTTAGCTGCCATTATCTCAGTGTACAGAGAACAGCTCAAAAGAAACGTGCTCTGGTAAATCTCTGTATCCCCTTAAAGAAGAGGTTCACCTGTTGAATGTCTGTCGCAGACAGCTATTAGTAGCTATTAAAAGATACAGGAGCCTTACCAGAAAAAAATAGCAATCTTAGTGTAAGGAGGGGAAATCTCTTCCCTCTACCAAAATGTGAACCCTTGTATTAGCACATCCTGTGTTTTTAGATCCAGCATTTTCACATTTCTTAAATTTAGGACCTAAAATTGCTTTTGTTTATAGCAATTGCTTGTGTTGGTGGTTGTAGGGATCACAAGTAAAAGACCTCAGTTCAGGGTGACCTGACCAGCCTCGGGGGGGGGGGGGGGGGGGGCTGAAGTTCTGGAATTACAATTTACCTCCAGCCTAAAGAGCTCAGTTTCCCTGGAGGGAACAGCAGCTTCAGTGGGTAGACTCTATGGCAGGGGCATCAAACGTAAGGCCCGGGGGCTGGATCCAGCCCGTCCAGGGTTCTTATGTGGCCCACAAGCAACTGATGCAAGGGAGGGAGTGCTGGTGGGGAGTGGGCAGAGCCACTCCGTTATGGCTTCAGCACAGCGGAACAACCTCGCCTGCAGCAGTCAAGCATCGTGGGAGCATCTGCCCAGCATTGCACTGCTGCTTCTCCAGTACACCTCTGTGGGTTTTCCTCTGCACCCCCCCTCCCACCCCAGGGGGCCTTGCAGTGAGGACACACCAACTCAGAGCTTACCAGCTGCTGTCCTTTATACAGTTTCTATCTCCAGTACCTGGCATTACGTTTTATGGCACACATGGCCCAGGTCTGACAAAGAGACATTTATGTCAGATCCGGCCCTCGTAACAAATGAGTTTGACACCCCAGGGAATCACATTCCCATTGAACTCCCTTCCCAGTGTCTGCCCTCCCCAGGCTCTGCCCCCAAATCTCCAGAAATTTCCAAGCTAGGGTTGGCCACCCTACCTCCTCTGCAGTAAGCAATCTTTACAGTACAACCCTACCCAGAGTTACTCCTATGCAGACATGGAATGGCATTGTGAGTTTAGACTAGAGTAACTCTTCACAGGATTGCACTGCTAGCTCCTTCTCTTAAAAAAGCACTTCCCATCCACATTGCCATTCTCTTTGTAAACAGAATGGGGCAAGCCAAAGTTTCCTGTTCAGTGAAGTTTTTTTTTTCTGAGCTGTTTGGTTGCAGTTCCAACTAATGATGAATTCAGAGGACCAGGTTCCACGTTGCACATTTATTTGCACTACGATTCCCCTGAAACAGGGTTGTGTGAAGGTTTTCAGCTATGTGACCATCCTCTTTTCTGATAACTAACTTACTGAAAGCACAATAGCCTTGGAGCTGGTCATATGTCAGATGCCTTCACATGACACAGTTCAGATTATATATCTTGGGGATTATAGAATAGTAATTTTGGGAGCCAGCCAAGAATAGATACTTACCCACTTTGATACAAGCCCCTGCCTGTGGCTTGATTTATGCAGGCTTTAAAAAAATATTCTACTGCCATTCAGTTGGTGGTGTTTCTCACTTCCACCTTGAAATTCCTTACTATCTCAGTTCTGAAAAACCCCTCTTAACTTGGTTTTAGTTCATCCAAAAACCCTAGTGCCCATGAGAATGGGGGAAAGAGAAGAGCAGCCATCAAGTAAGGGGCAGGTTCAGCAACGTGAAAACGCAGAGTATTCTGACTATGATTGCCCCATTACCCACCCAAGGAAGCTATGTCAGGATCTTAGGTGTTTGACACAAGTAAGCAGAAAGACAAATGCCCCAAGCCAGTAAGCCTCTAGCTCCTGTAGGCCTAGCACAAAAGCAGAGTTTCAAAATGGCTGTCTATCTAGGCTTGCCAGATTACAAACCCAAAATCCTGCCTAGAGCATTTCAAGGCAAGGGTAGACAAAACCCACCTCTGTACCAACCTCCAGCTTTGCTTCTCCAGCAGACCCTTTGCCCGAATCTCTTCTGCTGCCCCAATGTACTGTTGCAAACACTCCAGCTTTACGTCTCAGACTGAGGAGGAAAATGGACAAGACAACAAGAGAAGAAACTGGGAGGCATAGCAGGCAGGTATCATCCGCTCCACTGCAGTGGTTTAAGGGAAAGGCAGAATCTCTGCCACCCTCTTTGCACAGCACTGATATTGCCAAGATTAGGAAAAGTCCTTCAAGACAAATGGGAGGGGCCATGGATTTCTGGGATGAAACCCAGAGAACTGTATCATAGGTCATGGCCACACTGGTGGTTTGGTGCGATATAGTGCCACCTCTAATTGAACCAGTTGAAAGTGTTGCGGGGCATATCAGCCACACAGCATACCCTCCTGAGGGTTACCCATGGAGACATCCTGTGGTAAAGCATCCACATTATTGCAGCACCTCAGCCACAGAGCGCACTGCCCAAAAAATCTCAAAATTCATGTGTGTGCATAAGTGCGCACATGGGCAATTTTTTAAAAAACCTCCCTAACGGCAGAACAGATCTGCAGGTTCAGACTGACAAATCCGTTCTGCATGTGCTCCCCTGGGTTCAGACATCCAGCCATGCGCAATGACTGCGTGGGGAACAAAAAAACCCACACTTTTTAACCCGACTCCAAGTTGTCCTATGACGGGATAAGTATGGCTGGGGAATCATTGACAGATGTGGCTGTCTGACTGCGCCCATTTGATCCGGAGGGGAGGAGTGGCTGTGTCGGGCCAAACTGCCCGTGTGATCATGGCCATAGTTTGTGCAGCAACCCCGGAGTCTCTTGTTCACTCTTTTTTTTGGCTGTCTCCTTTTTTTTTTGGGGGGGGGGGGGTCTGCACATCTTTACCACTTTCTGTGTGACACAGCTGGTTGGTCTCCTGTTCCCTATGACATACAGGATACAGGAGGGCAGACAAATCAGCTCAGAAAGGAACAGGCAGGAGAAGCTGTGATGCCGGCTTTTCTAGCTGAATCAGTAAGCTACACTGTGAACCTCTTCACACACATGCCCACTGGTGCAGGAGCTCTCTCAACACATGTTTGGCGGTGGATTGCCTTTCTGTGTGTGGCAGGGTTGTTATGGCCACCTTCTTGTCAGTATCAGATATTTTCTCCATATCTGCATTTCCACACATATCTGCTTTTTTAATTTGTCATGGTGCTGTTAAAAAATATAAGAGCCCTACCAGAAAAAAGCTGGCAATCTTACCATTCTGGTCATGGGAAAGATGCCAACAGCAGACACACAGAGAGTTTGGTTGCTTTCTGTAGCAGACAGT